TATCATTGGTGCTTTGTTGTACTATATTCCGCAGCGTTGGTGATAAAGTGTTGAAAATGCACCCTTACGGTTGGATAAAGCTTAATTTGACTTCACTTGACTATATGTCATAAGCGATTCGGATCCCGCCTGCCTTTCTTCCGTTCTCACAATATTGCTGTAAAATCAAAGAAAACGTGCTTGTCAAATAGTGCACAAGGATTAGCGACTGTGCCATATCACGTCTCTTGACGGAACCACCCACTTGAACCTAGCAATATCACGATTACTTTTCACTTTGTCTTCCATAGCAACGAATGGCAATCTCCTGGAGCCAGTGATCAGGGTGGCGCCGTCGAGCTGATTGTTACCCTGTCATCCCACGTCATGTGCATCCAGAGGTGACATGTCAACCTAACGTCAAGCACACGCCAGTCTTCCAGTTTTTGGTGTCGACTGAAGCTACAAAGTGCAATGGCCTCACTTTCGAGTACATGGCCATGTGTACAATCGATCTGCCTCAACTGACTACAGCTGTTTTGCTCCTATCAGCCCCTGAAACCCATTGTCCATTCTGACGTTTCTAAATTACTTGCCTCTGTTGTACTCCGTAGATTGTCGGATTCCGTGAAAGCCAGGTTCGAGAGGAGTAGGCCGGATTTCGTCGAAGTCCAGGCTGTATTGACCAAATCTACACTTTATGTCATTTATAGGAACGCGACAATATTTATGATTTCAGAATGTTTTGCATACAAATCGGTTTTTATTATGGCAACCTTTCGCTCTTGACGCAAGAGCTTCTTCAGGCCAAGTGAATGGATACCCAATTGGCTTAGCCTTTTATAAGAAAGTAAGGTGAAAATTGCAAGAAATAACACGAATCATTGGATAACAGTGCTACAGGTCAAGAATCCATTCTGGTGCAACAACAAGCATCGAGCGTTTCTCATTGATCCGCATCACTGATCGTTCACATGTGAGGCATTTCTGTTCCTGCAACTGCTGACTCACGCTCCGACCTGAGTTCGTCCGGCGACAACTTTTCTGACCGGGTTAAGACAGCCCGCCACGCGTTCGATAACTCCACCCCGTCCGTTCTGTTCACACAGTTATTAGTTTTAGTAATCTCAATCGCCCCAGCAATCCACCTTTGGCCTGTTACTGGTAATCCTCTCTTAATTACCGCGACATTGTCCCAGTCAATTTCGTGTCCTGCGTCTAGCGCGTGTACGGCCACCGCTGAATCTCTTAGTAGGGTTTTGTATTCAGGCTCATTTCTCGGCGGACGCGAAACGTGCCTATTGTGTTCTGCTATCTTCGTACGTATCTTTCTCGCTGTTTGACCTAAGTACACGTGTTCACAGTCTTTGCAATTGATTTTATACACACAATTTGTCGTCCTATCTCTTGGAAGTGGATCCTACAAACGCACAAGCGTTGAATAGAGCGTTTGACCCTTTTGAAAAACCACTGTTATTTTCTCTCTTTGGTACTCGCCCAAGTGTCTCTGAGGTTCCCTTTTTACAGGGGGATTCCCACCGTCTAAATCCACTCCGTTGTGCGTCGCCGAGGTGGATTTAGAGCTCCCTACAACTGGCATTTCACTAATCGCCTCGGATATCCACTGTCTATTAATTTGCTTACCGTTTCCTTACGAGCGGCCTTCCTATCCTTTTCCTCCATACACAGATTCTGGGCTCTGTGATACAAAGAGAATGCGATATCCGCATAGACTTGTTTTGGATGACTCGAACTGTAATGGAGTACTCCATCCGTATCTGTCTGTTTGCGATATATCCTCGTCTGTAACCGCCCACCGTTCCTATGAACTAGGCAATCGAGGAATGGCAATGTGTCACTGCAAGATTCTAGTTCCATAGGAAAGTTTATGTTTCCATTAATGGAGTTCAGATCGTTTAGAAACTCATCCTTCAAATCCTGATTTATAATCACAAATGTATCATCCACGCAACGCCACCAAATCCTTGGCGAACTACCGGAGTTTGTCAGTACCCTCCTCTCAGTCTTCCCTATACAGATTTGCCAACACAAGCGATAGTGGTGACCCCATGGCGTCTTAGTTTCTGAGCGTACAATCTCTACTGGAACATGAAATACGACATATTAAAACATACTTTAATTCCATCGATTATCTGGTCTACCGTGAGTTTCGTTCGCTCCTCCAGGCTATTGCCCTTAGTCAGACAACGCTGTCCTACCACAAATGCGTCATCTTTGGGCACGTTAGTGAATAGGGAGCTAACGTCGAAACTAACCATTATTTCGTCTGACGCGATGGCCAGACCTGCTACCTTTCGCGCTAACTCATAAGCCTTCCGTACGGACATGTATGTTCTCCCTGTTAGAGGTTGCAACAAACCTGCCACATATCGGGCTAGTTCGTGCGTCGGAGTACCGATACCATCTACAATGGGCCGAGCTGGAGCGTCGGGGTTATGTATTTTCGGCAGCCCATAGATCCTGAATACAGGGCCCTACTAAGAGATTCAGCGGTGGCCGTACACGCACTAGACGCAGGACACGAAATTGACTGGGACAATGTCGCGGTAATTAAGAGAGGATTACTAGCAACAGGCCAAAGGTTGATTGCTGAGGCGATTGAGATTACTAAGACTAATAACTGTGTGAACAGAACGGACGGGATGGAGTTATCGAACGCGTGGCGGGCTGTCCTGACCCGGTCAGTCAGAAAAGTTGTCGGCGGACGAACTCAGGTCGGAGCGTGAATCAGCAGTTGCAGGAACAGAAATGCCTCACATGTGAACGACCAGTGATGCGGATCAATGAGAAATGCTCGATTCTTATTGTTGCACCAGAATGGATTCTTGACCTGTAGCACTGTTATCCAATGATTCGTGTTATTTCTTGCAATTTTCACCTTACTTTCTTATAAAAGGCTAAGCCAATTGTGTATCCATTCACTTGGCCTGAGGAAGCTCTTCCGTCAAGAACGAAAGGTTGCCATAATAAAAGCCTAAAAAAACCGATTTGTATGCAAAACATTCTGAAATCATGAGATCCCAGTCGGTTCCAAGCACATTCCGAGATATTGAACCACCATATTTATTGGTGACCCATCGTAATGGTGTTCCTCGACATCCAAGGTGACTTGGATTCGATGGGTCCATGTACCGTTTGCGACTGCCTGCTCATGAAAAGTGTGCCAGATAACTATGTAAATGTTATCGGAGCGCTGTACGCGCATAGTGGAAGCTTGTCGCAAACTGTCGCCGCCCTTCAATATCTGCATCGATGTGAGACAAGGTTGCCCGCTGTCACCTTACCTCTTTAACTTCACCATTGACCAAGTCATGGAAACTGCGTTCGGTAGACACGACTTAGAAGGTATGGAGCTGCTTCCAGGTGAGCGGCTTCTTGACTTGGAGTATACCGACGACATTGCCCTCATTTGTGACAGCTCCCAAGCATGCCATGCAACACTGGACAGGTCAGCACTGACTGTCAGTCGTTTGGTGCTTTGCACCCTCGGAATACGAGGTCTTTTTACATTACATCACGCAAGTTTTTACTGTTTTGGTGAATCTGTTTTGAGTGAATCTAGTGGCATGGACTTTCCATAACCGACGATATGTGGTCACTACGTTAGAAAACTCCCGCACTTCGGGTACCCGGTGAAGTGGCTTTCATCAAAAATGTTTGTTAACCATTTGTTCGGTACGCGCTCGTTCGCATTCCGAAGCCGAGGACGGACTTACGGTACGCTCTTCTCTTGGTTCACTATTTCAAATACACTCCCTCGGTGCTATCAAATCTCTTGTTTATCCCACCCAAGCTTTGCACCGATTTGACCATTTGTGGACTGTAATTATCTCCAATCGCTTAAGGGATAACTCGTTGAGCGAGTGGTATCGCTGTTTTTGAGAAATAGTAGCTACATTTCTTAGCACCCATTGTAGACACTATTGACGTGGACCATTACCCAGCTGTTTCAGCTGTTTTAAGACTATGTTCAAGAGCCCTTTAGTTGGGTTTCGCCCAAGCACCAGCGTGAAACAGCCGCGGAGTCTAGTTTCCTTCTTCTACCTATCAACCAATGATAGGGAACCGAACTCGTAATCGCTAGTAGCTTACGCCACAGAGCCATGGGGGACGGCGGGGATATACTTATAGTTTCTGGTTGATGAGACACCACACTTGACGTGATCATCCAGTTGCACTGGAAATAATACGCTGATCGCAGGTTGATCGGTAACATGATTCACTACGTTAAGCCTCCGTGCAATCTAGTGTACGATCTCCTCGGCTTTCCATTGTTTTTGAGCCGGCAGATCATCAGCAACCGCTCGGTGCTTGCCCAATTCACCTTTTCTGTTTGCGTGATATATCTCAGCGTACTATCACCCCCGTTAGGCCGTATTACCTTTTAGGCCTAGTGGGTGTATACAAGGCATGTGCGTAGAATCCATGGACAGATTTATCCTCTCTAATGACTACTTTACGCTCTTATTGGCATCTAATGCGGTTCGCCTTATTTCCCATTTAATGGTAACCACATGTTTTCTGTCTATGCGCGCTTGAACAGGACATTGTCACCCGAATGACAGTTGTTAAGTATCGATGTGTCCATAAATAACTGGAACGTAGTGCACTTTTGCTGCATCGGCAGAGTTTTGTACATCTGCTCTTTTTGTGCGGTACATTCTATTCTGAAGGAGTTTCGGTGTTGCTCTTCTCAACACTGACACCCCTCGACCGGTTTCTTCCTGTTTTGGACTCATCAGGTAGAAATAGCCTGAGTTGGCAGTGAAGCTCCGGGTCTAACGCTTAACAACTGACGCCTTGATCAGGCCGCTGAGATCCGTGAGAAACATTCTGCTTTATACACAAACCACCTAATCTTTCCCAGAAACAAGAATTCTTTAAATTCCTTTTGAGTAAAAAACCGTCATCTTTCCTTTCCTGACCTTAAATACTGTTATGGCAACTTGTCTTTGACCAACCTAACTTCCCTCGTTTTGATTCCTCTACATACGATGTAGTCAAAATCTTCAGCAAGTTGGTTACTCGACGTTCGTCGCACGTGACCACCTTGGGACCGCCGCTACATCTACAAAATTCGGAACCCGCGGAGACCGAGAAACGTTTGCGATATCGAGTGGATTACGAGTGGCAAAAATCATTCTCTCCCCTGGCCGTGCTCGGGGCACATCACAGCTATTGGAACAGCCGCGAATTGGCGTTTTTCCTGTTGTATCAAATATTCGGTCACCCGGACAGTGTGTCCTAACCCTGTTTTCTGGTGTTTATTGAACGATCTTTTACTCGTATGGTCCATTGATACTTGCCTCTTCTGAGGCCTCATCCATAATTGAAGAGTATTCATCGTTTCTCGAGCCTTGTTGAATGTATGATCCTGTTCTTTCTTGATAACGTACGTCAGAGCACTGTTGATTACATACTTCCATGATGATCATGGTTGCTGCGATGGCTAGAAATGCCAAAAATCTCATCGCATGGTCGGCGCTTTTTTTCCGTATCAGTCGATGTCTTCAGTATTGCTAGTCTGATTTCAAAAAGGCGGTTCTTCGGGAAACAGAGGTTTCATTCAGCACAAGCAAACAAGTACTTTTGACCAGGAGAATGTCTCGATATATATCATTTACCTACTTACATAAACAGGTATGTTTTTCGACCAAGGAAATTTTTTTTCGACTCGGTTAAATAAATTACAAAGAACGTCAGACAATCAGCAGGGCAGTGTAGGCGTACAACACCTGTTGTGTCTAATGAACGACTGTCAGGCCCCACTCCACTTGACACCATCTGTTTATTCTCACTAGAAACCCATCTTACCATGATCGCTGAAAGGACTAACCATACGGCTCTTTTGTGTGTGGGCGATGTCCAAAGTGTTGTTGCTATACGGAGTACTCAAATAGCTATCCATTCCAAATTCGTCGATCTGATGGCCTTCAGTCTCCTGCCGTATCTACGCGAACTAACGTACTGGACAGACACTTAAGTCATGCTGCACACCAATTTTTAGCCGCCATCTCGTGTGACGTTTGTGGACTGGGTACTATCCCAAAAGGTTTCATGCATGTCTCATTAACCGCTGCAACGATCTTTTCCTTTGCAGATGGTAGGGCTGTCCCAATTGGTACATAGTGATCACACATTTCTTTGCCTACGTACGGTTGTCTGTATAAATTAGTATGCGGATGATTACTGGATGGAAACAGCAAGAAGAGAGATATCTGTATATGTGCATCTAAAATCCCTCAGGTAAACTGACCAATTGTGTTGGCGATTGTACCAACGATACGAAGCCTAAACTAAGTACATTGTATGAAACCTAAACGAGAATGTACGAACAAATAAACCCAAATTTAACTCACGGTCTGGGCAGAAGAATAAAACGAATTATCCTATAAGGCAAATTAAATACAGTACATGACTTACGAATAGGTTTTGAAATCGTAGTGCAAGAGGGCGGAAATTGTAAAGCGTGCGGGAATTCGGGCAGTGTCACAGTAACAGAATAATATGAATGACCTTGAAACGTCAAGAATATGTCAGTGATCGAGAGTGAAATGAATAAAGGTTCGATATGGTAACCGATTGTAGCACACAGAGTGAAAACAATGTAAAATGGGTAGGATAATTAGGGAATAGGGATACCGTGTCCTCAAGTAAGCAATCCAGGTTGGGGATACATCAAATTCCTTTTGGAATTTACAGCGATCATTTCTGATATTTCATATCGGTAAAATGTTTGTCAAGGCATTTTTAGAATTTCGACACCGACTTTGCTTCGACTACATGCGGCGGAAACTTGTTCTGTGTATTCACCACTCTCCTCCGTTCGAAGCAGGGTTGGTGAGCGATCCGGTACTACAAGCTTGTACCGGTGTCCTCGTGTGACGTTTGGTTTGCGCATATGGAGCAGCGGCCTCTACATGGGATCATCACCAATATGTAATATCCGGTGCGTCATGATTAGATCAAATCGCACTCCACAATAAGACAGAATGCCAATTCTCAGCCTGTTGTATCAGGCTTCGTAGGGGACGAGCCTAGTGGCCAAATACTGTACCCGCTCAATCCTTTGCGCCTCGCCTCGACTGATAGGACAGTAAGCAGGTGAGCCATACTGTAACAGTGGTCTGATGATTGGAACGAAGAGGCGAGTGGTAATTTCTTCGGACCAGTTACAGAAGCTGTGCTTGAGCATCCAAAGCATACGAAGTTCGTTTTGGTAAAGCGTATTCGTGTTGTGCACGAGAGCACACCGAGGTCTTTCACGAAAGCCGTGGGTTGCAACCAGCCACAGTGTAGGTTCGACTCAGGTCCAGGAATAGCGACTTGACCGGGTTTATGTGGAGGTTGACCTCTGCAAACCACATGAATACGCGGTCATGGTTTCACTGAAGCAGTACAGTCATTGGGCGCACTGATTACTCCCCACACCTTCAAATTATCTGCTGTCGGTTAGGTTACAAAAACTGGATGTACATAACCTCGCAGGTCACAGTTTACCGGTAGTCTAGGCCAGGGAGTTCCGATCCTAGGGTGAACCCTTATTTGAACGGTGTAGACATGTAACAGATTACACTTTCTGAATATGAATTATCTACACTATCATCATCAAAAGTACCCAGTGTAGTTCATGGTCACCGGAGACCACAACAATCGTAGTGGCGCGTTGCTTCCAACTGTACACGCATCTCTACGAGCGTCCAGTGCCCAGTGAAGGTTGTTGGCCCGTTTAGACTATGCATGATCGCTCCCGCTCATGAGGCCGTGTACCGCTCGTCAGTAAATACAACATTTATTTATTTATGCTGCACCTATAATAATTATGGATTCAGCGTTTCCCTCCAAATGGTACGAAGAGCGTTGTTTTTTGAGCTTATCAGCCCCAATTGAATGCGCTGTCTATTCAAAGGGAACACGGTTACATTGAAGAAAATATCAGTTATGTTGCTGTATGATTGAATAGGTCAGGCGGAGGCTAGAAATAAGTGCAACCCCAAAATTGGCTTCGGACTGTTGTCAATCCCGATCAGCTTTCGTGCAATGGTAGTACTTATCACAATAGGACTGGGCTCTGACGTGGTTCGACTCTTTGCGCACCTTCTCGACTTCCATTTGGAGCCCTCGATCCTTCTTCAGATTGGCATGCCTCAATGTACACACATTGCTACAAATCGGTCAACAGGCTACACTTGCTCGAACATTGGAGACCCTCTTGATCGATATCTGTGCTTATCACAGACTCGCCTGCAAGACTCGAGCACTGTGCTCACTCTGCGACCTCCTTCAGGTGACGCAAGCAGTATTTTCTCATTGCGCCTACCTGTTGACGATGCACCTTCGAGTACCGGCCAAGCTAGTGTTGGCATTGCCCTGAGTCTCCGGACTGAAGCTGCTCTGGTTGATTGGGTTCCAACCAGTAGCCGTATGTGTGCGGTCCGATTGGCTAGCTCGTTCAAATCTTCGAAGTCGCGCGGGACTAATAGGTGTCTACTCATCATCGCTGTCTATGCACCCACAAACTGTAGCGATGACTCGGTAAAAGACGACTTCTGTCGTCAACTGAACGAGCTCCTTAGCCACAGAAGAAGCTCGGACACTGAGTGCTGGCCGGGGATATGAACGCTCAAGTTGGAAAATTATCCACAGATGAGCTGCATCTGGGCGGCCAACATGGTGTAGGCTCCCGTAATGATAACGGTGAGCGGTTACTTCATTTGTGTGAGGATGCTCGCTTATTTCTTGCGAGCACTAATTTCCGACACAGCACCTGCCGGAGGGTGACTTGGCGCCCACCAGCCTTGGACACAGATCGATCACATTGCCATCAGTTCTCGCCGGAGAGGCTGCATCCAGAATTGTCGCTCGATTTGGAGCACATGTGTGGACACCGATCATGCACTTGTATGTGCTGACATGCGGATGCGTTTTGGTGGACGCCCACGACGACGATGTGAGCGCATTGACACCAGCCAACTGACAAAGCCAGCTGTTCTGAATGCGTATCGAAGTACACTGACATGCGAGTTGAGTAATCGCTCACTGGAGACAATCGATGGTCACTGGTCACATGTTCGCCAGACCTTACTAGCAGCAGGAAAATACTCATGTGGTACGTCTAATCGCCAACATGGACATTGGGTCTCTTCTCGGTCTCTGGAACTTATCGACGCTCGCCGGTATATCCCGGCTGGAAGCGAACACAATGAAACTCGCAAAGAGCTCCGGGCAAAACTCCGTGCTAGCCTGAAGAGAGACCGCGAATCTTGGTGGTCTGTTCGTGCGTCAGAGATGGTAGTGGCAGCTGCCCTTGGCAACCATCGTAAGTTATTCCGTCTGACACGGAAAACGGGCAGCAGGAGACCTGGTGTTAGTGAAACTATACGTGACGAGAGTGGACAGCCTATCCACAATTTGTCAAAACGTTTGGAGCGTTGGGCTGAGCATTTTGAAAAGCAATTTAATCGGCTAGAATTGTTCGATTCGCCGGTCACTGATCGCCCTGCTCCGTGGGCTGTCCCTTTGAATCCACCCTCTCGCTCAGAAGTCGAACGTGAGATCGGACTGTTGAAGTTGAACAAAGCCGCGGGACCAGATGATCTTCCTCCAGCTCTCTTCAAATTCGGAGGCTCTGCTCTTGTTGATGCTTTACATGAATTAATAATGAAACTGTGGGAGCAAGAGATTGTCCCAACCGATTGGAGCCGCTCCGTTATTGTTTCCATCTTCAAAGGCGGCTCGCGCTCGGATTGCGGCAACCATAGAGGAATCAGTCTGATCTCCGTCGCCTCCATCATTCTTCACAGACTGACTGGCGCTCGTGAAAGCCAGATTCGTGAGGAGCAAGCCGGGTTTCGTCGTGGTCGTGGCTGCATCGACCACATCTTCACCTTGCGTCAGTTGTTGGAGCACCGTCACACATATTGGCGGCCCACCCTAGTCGTGTTCCTCGACATCAAAGGTGCCTTCGATTCGGTTGAACGATGTGCACTTTGGACTTGTTTACTCAGGAAAGGTGTGCCCGAGAAATATGTAAATATTATCCAAGCATTATATGCGCGTAGCACGGGCAGAGTGAGGGCTTACGGCAAGCTGTCGCCACCCTTCAATATCTCCAGCGGTGTGAGGCAAGGATGCGCGCTGTCACCTTTCCTATTCAACTTCGCTATTGACGAAGTCCTGGAGATTACGTTTACAGGACATGACTTGGAAGGTGTGGAGCTACTCCCAGGAGAACGACTTCTTGACTTGGAGTATGCAGACGACATTGCCCTCATCTGTGACAGCTCCCAGAGGTGCCAAACCGCGCTGTACAGATTAGCAGTGGCTGTCAGTCGCTTCGGGCTTTGCTTTGCACCATCGAAATGCAAAGCGTTCCTCCAAGATTGGCAGGGATCGCCCCCTGTGCTGACCCTTGGTGGGGATCAGCTAGAAGTCGTTCAGAAATTCAACTACCTGGGAAGTTGTATCAGCGCCCTTGGGATCGAA